TAAAAAAGGTCTTAAAAGGTATTAAATTTAACTCCATGATTCCTGTATATACCCTGTTATTTATTTTATGTTTTTTTTAAGAAATGTATGCTTCTATTCAGCACGGATGCATTAAACTCATCAAAAATGACCGGATTCCGGATTCAGTTCTAATATTAAAAATTTTTTTTTTTTTTTTCTTTCCATCTATTTATCGATAGAAAAAAATCATGTATTCCCACAAAATTATGAAGCATCACAACTATTCTCAGCATTTATAATAAGAAAAAAATCTTTCTGCATGAGTGAATCAGTATATTAGAATTATTTCTGAATGATCATGTTACACTGAATACTGGAGTAATGATGCTAAAAATTCAACTTTGATCACAGGAATAAATTACATTTGAAAATATATACAAAAATTAAACATGATTTTAAATTATAATAATATTTCACAATATTACTGTTTTTTTAAACAAATAAATGCAGCCTTGGTGAGCATAAAAGAGCCTTCTTTTGAAAAAATGGTTATATGTATATATATTTATACAGTCATAGACAGTCATATGCATTTTACATGAAAAACAGGTAAACAAATAATATAACTTTCATTTTTGGATGAAGAATTTCTTTACAGCTTTTCTTTAGGTGAGACTGGTGGGATTGAAACACTATTTTGTTTTTTTCTTCCTGTTTATGCAATGCCATATCATCGCATTAATTTGATGACATACTGTCTGACTCTCAAATTACCAGCTGTGTTTTTTCCGGCAGATTAAAAGGAGCTATTTTTTAGAGTGTAGGAATAATATCAAAAACATTCTGTAAAAATTCTGTAAAAGTTTGGCCAAGGGGGCTTTTTGTGCCAAGCAGATTGGCCTCTTTGAATAATTGTACATGTTGTGCTATGACAACTATACAGATTATACACACACACACACACACACACATCTTAAAATCATGAGGCAGGCCTCAGTGCTTATTCTTATGTGTGTGGCATCTTTAAAGTATTTATTTTGCGTGTGTGAAAGTGCCAGAAGACGAGTATAGTATGTATACACACACACACACACGCAGTAGCCCTCCTGACTAGAGGCGAACTCTTGGTTCAGTGAAACCTTTCCTTGTTTACAGTTTAGATTGACCATAGACATGACAGAAGTTCATCTCAAACATGAAACTGAACTTTGCTGGAAAGCAATCCTAAATGCACTCTCTGTTACATATGGGATATCCTGATATGAATATTCAAATTGAAACCCGATGGAATAGAATTATTTAGAAACTCGAGGAATTACATCCCAGTGGCAGTCTGTGTTTCATCAGTGTTATGTAATGTATGAATTGCATATGCTGCTGGAATAATATGCACCTTGTCTTTCCATTAAAACAGACATAGACATTATTGCAATGTGAAACAGACCTATATTTTTGGGACTGAAAAAGTTATCTAAATCTGCAGTAATTATAGATGAGGGTTATACATGTGCTACTGTTACCATAAAGAGACATTCAGTTATATTAATAATAGTAAATAATATTTCAAATTCTCTTTACAGTGTAGTAAAATACATCATTATTAATATTGTAATATTGTACTATAAAATGTTTTCATAAACCTCAGTACAGGTGTGTTAGCAGCAAAACTCTTACCTGTCCATTTTTCAGGAGATCCGCCCACATACTGGTTCCATCTCCTCCTCTCATGAGGACATTGTATGTGAAGAAGTACGTCCCTGGAACCTTGCACACAAATTTCCCAGTCGATCCATCGTAGTTATTCCCAATGTTTGTAACTATGTCGTCAAACCTCAGAACCTCATAGCCCTCCTGTGGGTTTCGCAAACCTGCGTAAAAGGCCACACGGGGTCCCATGGTATAGACAGCTGTCCCCATTCCAGTAGCTGTTCTTCCACTCAGAGCAAAGATGTCCGGTCGTTCTGTGTGGTTTTTATTTCCCGGTGGCCCCATTGGTCCTGGAGGACCTGGCTCTCCAGGTGGTCCTGGAGGTCCTGGTAGCCCTGGTTTTCCTTGGCGGCCGGGTTTGCCCTGCGGTCCATGGGCGTAAGTGGGCAATGGGGGTCCCATGCTATGATCAGTCAGCGCCTCAGCTTCCAACTGCGTATTAGTGATTGCTGTGCCCGTACCGATACCAGCCATAGTGCCAGTTTTTTCCAAGAACGGATCGCAGACCATTTGGCAAGTGCCCAGCATCTCGTACTGACCTCCGTTTTCACTGCTGCCCGCCAGATGAACCAGAATAGGAATGAGGACCACCAGCACTAAGAGCAACATGACGGCCACGCCAGCCCCCAGCAGGGTCTTACGTCCCAGGCTGAAGTGGGAAAGCGGCTGGGCCGCCAGCACGGAGCTCTCGCTGCAAGCCGGAATATTGACCTCTGGAAGTGAGAGGGAAAATGCTCCCTCAACGCCAGGTGCTCACGGAGATGAGAGGGGAAATGAGAACCACCTGGGATCTCAGATAAGTGTGTGTGTGTGTGTGTGTGTATGCTTGAAAGAGAGAGAGAGAGAGAGCATTCACTGTTTCAGCAGATGAGTGGAGAGAAGTGTTTGGGCATTGAGGAAGGAAGTAGGATTGAGAGAGAAAGAGAGAGAATGCCCTTCTAGTGGGTTTCTTTGTATGACTCAAAAAGGACAAGTGGGAGGAGGCTTTCTGCAAATGAAGAAACAGTGAGAGAGCGAGAGAGAATCAGAGAGAAAGAAGGGTATTTGGGGAAACCCAATGCCAAGTCCTTTAAGTGTGTTTTATTGTGCAGTCTTTTGAAATATGATTTGATTTTCCACTTTGTTGAACAGCAAGACTCGATGGCAGGGTTTAGACGTGGTGGTTAGATCAAGCACGAGAGGAGAGGGAAGACGAGGAAGAAATAGTCTGTTTTCTCTGTCTGCGTGATGGTCAAGTAAATATGACAGGATGCATTCTAAGCATCAGTTAATCGAAACGGACACCTGCTGAGTGCAAGCAAAAGGATTTTTCCGCTTTCCTCTTTCTCTCAAAACCGCCCTCGATGCATCCTGGCATCATCTCGATGCAACCTGGCATCGTTATGCAATTATGTCATTGTTTATTTATGTGCAGTAAACACATAGTAATTCTTCCATAGCTCACTCGGATTATGAGAACACGGGCTACGGTACTGGGCTACGGGCGTGCTCATAATTGTCTCAATTCATTAGAGATACAGGGCAGTCGTGGCCTAATGGTTAGCGAGTCGGACTTGTAACCCAAAGGTTGCGGGTTCGAGTCTCCGTGGGTGGTGGGTGGGGGGTGAATGTACAGCTCTCTCTTCCACCTTCAATACCATGACTGAGGTGAGACCCTTGAGCAAGGCACTGAACCCCCAACTGCTCCCCGGCCACCGCAGCAAAAAAGGCTGCCCACTGCTCCGGGTGTGAGTTCACCGTGTGTGTGTGTGTTTGTTCACTACTCACTGCTGTGTGCATGCACTTGGATGGGTGAAATGCAGAGCACAAATTCCGAGTATGGGACACCACACTTGGCCACACGTTACGTCCCAGGAATAGCAGGCTGCTGTAATGAACACGGCTGTATGAAAATGAGAAAATGTACATTATATTTGTTCATTCAGGAGGTACTGTATTTTGATCCAAAGCGCATGCAAGTCAGCGCAACTCCGGCTTCCCCACGGCATGTACCTGAAAAGATCAAGAAACGAATACTGTGTGAATGTTGGATTAGGGCCCAGACTTCTTCATCAACCCAACTAAAGCCCAGTGCACCACATTTTCCCATCAAGTTTCATCACAGGTTTTTGAAAGTTCAGTGTGACATGCTCAACAGCGAACAATTATTCCCCATGCCTATTATGCCTTGTGATGAATCTTAGCCTCCAACGAAGTTCTTACAGTGTCAGAAATAATGCGTCACAATCCTGCTGTGTGGCTGCTCCTACGAAGGTCGTCTAAATAAGAACTGGTTTGAACGGCAATTAATGACGTACTCTGTGAGTAAGAGAATAACAGTTGGTACAATATCTTGGTAGTTTTCTCTTGACATTTATAATCACACTTAAAATTTACCTTAAGTTCACTTTGAAAAATGAGCGGTCCACAAATCCCCTCTATCATCCAGCCATGACAGAGTTCAATCACTTGAATTCTTTGTCATGCATGTCAATGAGGATGTCAAACCATGACCAGACCAAACGCGAGCAAACTCTGACATACAAGACCACTAGCTTTTATGCAAGATCTCATTACATTTGCATTTAAGCATTTGGCAGATGCGGTTTTCTAAAGCAACTTATATCACATTCAACATATCAATTTCTGACAAGCAACAATCATAAAGGATAGAAAAAAACTGCACTGCCTGCACCAACCTTAAGCGAAGAGCTCAAGATCACACATCCGGCTAAACCAGGTGGTAAATGGTTTCCTGAGGTTGCTAGTTTATTACAGGTCCTTTCTGGCCATTTATTTAATGAATGTCGGGTCTGAAAGAAGACCTGCTTGGAAATGCACAGCCTTGGGCTTGATATGGGCGCATTACTAGTACTGTAGAAGAATTTTCCCACCATGCAGGACACCTGGGTCTGATTCCCAGCCAACGCAAAAGATGTTCCATTGCAGCTGTAGGGGCTAATCCTCAATCTCGAGAATGGAGTTGTGTTAGTAAAGTTAAAGTCAAACCAGGGTTATTATCATTAACCAAAACTAAAACGATTTAAAACATTTTTAGTAATTAATATAAAGCTTAAATTAAATATAAATATTAGATGGAAAAACTAAATGAAAATGAGAAATCTTGCCTTGCCAACTAACCGAAATGAGTTAAAAAATAATAATAAAAATGGCCAAAGGACATAAAGGGGGCGTTTATATAATACTATTTTTAACTAAAAACAGAAAAAGTTTGAAAAGCAGGCTTCAAAGTGCAATTTTTGAAAATGTGACCATTATCATCTTCATGGAAACTACAAAAACGCAAATTTGTGAAAATGGTGACATCATGCACATGCATATTAAGTGTGTGTGTAGTGTTTCTTTACAAAGTCACATTGCCAACTACTGGCCTGGCATGTGCAATACAGCGTTGTAAGTCGTTTTTGTGGATCCGCGTGAACGGGGATCATTTTGACAACATTGTCGTCTGTACGCAAACCACAGAGGAAAAACATTTTGACATTTTTAGTACATCAATGTCATGTAAACGTACCCAAAATGACTGTTAATTAAACTGAAAATATAAAAATTCAAAACTAAAATTCAAAATATTAGTAAAAAATACAATAGTATGTAAATAAAACTAGAATTACACTGAACAAAATGGATTATATTTACTTACTTATTGTGAAGAATTCCTCAGTGCACATTCTTTACACAAATTATGTACATATAAAAAGTGACTTGTGAAAATGTCATAACTTGTTCCTTAATTACAACACAATATAATTTAGTCCCAACCTACATCTCTTTTTGAATATTCAGGTTCATTCAGAAATATTTTGCATTACAAAAGTTAAATGAATTCTGAATTAATTTTATTAATTGTTTTCCATTTCTAGTTCCTGGTTGCAATGGTGTAGCGATTAAAGGTCAGCGCTAGTAACCAGAATAGCTAATAAACCATGAGCCAGCACATGAGAAAAGGCCCTTAAAGTGACAGTTCACCCAAAAAGAACATTTCTCAATTTCCATGTCATTCCAAACCAGACTTAGTTTCTTATTTGGAAAATGTTTTGAAAAATGTCTCAGTTGTACATTTATACAATGAAAGTTACTGGGATCCAATGTTGTTTTGGACCCCACAAATTTCATGGTATGGACATAACAGTTCTTAAAACATACAAGTCATACAGGTTTGGAAGGACATGAGGGTGAGTAAGCCATTTTTGGGTGACCTTTAAATTCATGTTTCTCCAGGGATTTTCTCTTTGTAACTTCACAGTGCCTTTCATTTGTACCACCGTACGCAACAGTCTAAAACTGAAGGTGCATTTTCACACAAACATTGCATTCTTTTCCATCCTCTCTTGTGGTTTGTGATGCTGTCATGGGACATGATGAAGACTAGAGGAGGGCTTGCTGACTATCACTGTGAGTCACTGAAACAGAGAGAATGTTGATCATTGGCTGCAGGGAATGAAGGCCATGTGGATCTCCGAGCGCAGTGACTCAAGCCGCGGTGTCCTTGACGGCGGCCGCAGTAATGCGCCAAGAACAGAGACTTTTCCAGCCCTCCCTATGTAATTTACTTCCTCCACAGCTCTTCTCCTCCCCATGCCTCCGCCAGCTGAGAACAACAAGCCCCTTGAGTCAGTCACAAGCCCCCAGAGAGATGCATGTGTCCTGCTCATCCTTGAGCGAGGGGGGATTTCTTGTTTCTTTTTTCGATTTTACTTGAAAGCAAACATAATGTTCAGATAAACCTCAGGCTGGGCCAGACATACCATGATGTAAGCTAGAATGATCTTAGGAGCTGTGTTTGCATGCATGTGCTCAGTGTCTGTATGCATGAACATATATGTGCAGGTTTTTCTGGAGTTGTCTCCATGTCTGGCAGCACACAGAGGAAAGGCAATAGCTGGTAACTTTAAAAGCAATGAAAAGCGTTAAAAAAAAACAGCTGTCCAGTCATTTCAGCATCACCTCACTAGTTACACAAAGCATTCACACAGCATAACTCGCACTATTTTATGGTACCACTGCATTTGAGGAACACATGCTGGAAAATATTGTAAGAGACACTCTGCAATGTCACAAACAGCTCTGAAGGGAAAAGTGAAAACAGCATGAAATAGACCTTCCTCGAATTTCCTACATTCATTTTTATGTTTTTGTGCTGTGTGTAACAACATAAAAGAACCCTAAAAATTCATGCATAATTTCTCTGCATTTTTCTTAACGTCCCCTGGAAAGTTTTTTTTTCTCGTAGTCAAGGTGACCTAAAAAAAAAAAAAATCAAATACATATCAACGTGGCCAAAGATGACACTGCTGTACATGCTAATTAAGGTACAAATATATATATTATGTCTTATATTACCATATAAATGCACAGAAATTATGTCGTTTGTATGTGTTTGTGTTGTTATACATAGCAGGGATAAAAAAGGAAATAGATATGAATGCACATATTAAAATGCTGGCCAAAGTTGTTAACTATTTTGATTAATAATTAGTTTTATTATGGCTAGTAACCAATAAACAACTAATATTAAAACGTTATACAATTTTGTATACATAAATATTAAAATACTAAAATAAACAAGTACATTTAGGCATCACCAAATCATAATGACCAGTATGAAATAAACAGTAAGAATTTTATATGACAGCAAATAAATGTTAAAATAGAGAAAAAGAATAATTAACAATTAAATGCACAATTAAATATCCAATATCTACTTCTGCAACACTGACATAAAATTGACATAAAAAGTTGAAATTATGAGACAGGTCATAATTATGATATGTCAAAAGAATGATTTTATTTTTCACATGTGGTGGAAATGGGCTTTCATAAATATTGATCCCAATAAATTAAACTCTAATATCAACTAATAATCAATATAGTGCCAGTATATTGTGCATTCCTGTAAATACACTCATGCAGGCAAGTCAAAAAGACACTTTCACATTCAATTTCAGGGCTTCTGCGTGTTTTGGGTAAAAAATGAAATTACTTTTCAATCAGTGTGTGCAAAAAGTGCCCAAACCAATTAACAGAAAAAATTAAGAAAATACTGTTTGTGTATAGTGGGAGATGGTCATTTTCTTCCAGTTCTTATGAATGAAACATGATATTGTTTATAAAGCAAAATTTATTTACTGTAAGTGAATTGTTGTTTTGGTTCAAGGTTTTTTAATTCAGCAAAACAAAGATTCGCTTGTCTTTGTCTAAGTAGGAGTGACTGTTGTCTCTGTGGAGGCCGTAAACCTCAGAATAAGATCAAAATGGAAATCAAGATGCTTTTGATTTACATGCTTGCTTCCTACAGCACGGACCGCACACACACACACACACACACACAAAGAAACGAGCCAAAGCGTACTTTTTAATT